GAGTTGCCGCCATGTGATTGGCTGCTTAGAAATTAAGTGTTAACGAGCAGTTGGACAGGTGTACCTAATAAAGTGGCCGGTGAGTGTATATCTCTATGGCATCGCTGTCCAGGAGTAATTCGCTTTTCAAGTGGATTTACTTAATGTAAAGTTAACAAAAGTTAGCATTAGGATTGTAATGCTTAAAGCAGATGTCTTAACAAATGTCAGTGGACCGGGAAGTTTTTAAAATGAGCCGTTCATTCATAAATACGCAAGATCACTGTGAAAATACAGACCGGAAGACGGAAGACAAAAGACAACGAGCGCAGTGCTGAAAAGGGGCGGGGCTACATAATGTCTATAAGAACCTATAGAAGAACCTGAGAGATTTCTGTCCCTCCAATTAAAGTCAATTCCCCTAAAACTTAAAAGATCCAAAAAAGGTAATAAGCCAAAGGCATAAAGCCAAAGTCCAAAATCCAAATCCTAGTCTTCTGAAGAGACACGATGGCTTTATATGAATATAACTTTATATTATAAAACTTTGCAGCACTTTGACCATTTATTAAAACCAGTGTGTTAAACTGTTAAAACCTCAAGAAACTCATGTACATGCTATTACAGTTTTTTTCAATCGCTAACAAGCGCTTACCCATACTTCAGATACTTTTTCTAAACTCTTAACACAGACTCACACCTACAAAACACAATTGGCCAAATGGATAATTTTCTTCTCAAAAACACATTTTGTTAAATATATACTAACTCTTCATTTCAAAATAGAACACATCTTTCTCTGCACACACTAACTTTACCAAAACACTGGAAATCTGTCTCAAAATGAAATTATTCTGTCAAAGAATAACACTTGTTTTCACTTCACAAGGTACATGCAGTCAATCAAAGTACACCAGGTTTCAAAATACTGGCTATTGTTGACATTACAAAAACTGCATAGACTTTGATGTTTCAGTTTTACAGGTATTTGCATGCAAAACATGCAATCCAACCTTTTTACACTAAATTTCTTGGTTGGGAACTGTATGTCCACATGTACAGTAATGTTCACATTCAAAAGCATTCTAGTAAAAAGCAAATCAGTTTTTCTCCCTCTACTGTTTACAACAGGAGGTACAGTAGAAACACGGTATGAAAGAACAGAAAAAGTTTTACAGTATTGCTTACAAAAAAGCACAAAATTACTGTATCTAATCTCTGCGATCTTCAGGGTTAGGCCACATGTTTTCATCAAATATTGCACTTCTGCACCTCTCACTGCACCTCTCACTGCATCTCTCACTGCATCTCTCTACTGCTCCTGCATCTCTCACTGCATCTCTCTACTGCTCCTGCATCTCTCACTGTACCTCTCACTGCACCTCTCAATGCATCTCACTGCATCTCTCACTGCACCTCTCACTGCACCTCTCACTGCACCTCTCACTGCACCTCTCACTGCATCTCTACTGCTCCTGCATCTCTCACTGCACCTCTCACTGCTCCTGCTCCTCTCACTGCATCTCTCACTGCTCCTCTCACTGCTCCTGCTCCTCTCACTGCATCTCTCACTGCTCCTGCATCTCTCACTGCATCTCTCACTGCATCTCTCACTGCACCTCTCACTGCACCTCTCACTGCTCCTGCTCCTCTCACTGCACCTCTCACTGCTCCTGCTCCTCTCACTGCATCTCTCACTGCTCCTCTCACTGCTCCTGCTCCTCTCACTGCATCTCTCACTGCTCCTGCATCTCTCACTGCATCTCTCACTGCATCTCTCACTGCACCTCTCACTGCACCTCTCACTGCTCCTGCTCCTCTCACTGCATCTCTCACTGCTCCTGCTCCTCTCACTGCATCTCTCACTGCTCCTGCATCTCTCACTGCTCCTGCTCCTCTCACTGCATCTCTCACTGCTCCTGCATCTCTCACTGCATCTCTCACTGCATCTCTCACTGCTCCTGCATCTCTCACTGCATCTCTCACTGCATCTCTCACTGCTCCTGCATCTCTCACTGCATCTCTCACTGCTCCTGCATCTCTCATTGCATCTCTCACTGCTCCTACATCTCTCACTGCATCTCTCACTGCTCCTGCTATTCTCCCTGGGCCCCTTGCTCTTACTCTTCCTCGTCCAGACATTACAGTGTTTGTCTTTTTCTGTTTCTGTTTTCAAAAACATCACTCCTCAAAGTCCTAATTTTACTGTATAAGTGTCAATGTAATAGAAAAAAATTGGGTAATTTTGGGTTGGCCCAATTTACCCAACATAAATCAGCTGTGTGTCAATTATTCAATTGTTTGTTTATTATTTTGCTGAGATATATTGTTTTTGAACTGATATCATTGCAGGAGCAGAGGTTTTTATACTGTATCTAAGGTTTGGAATATTGTTTTTGCTATTGTGGGATGGTGTGTGTTAACATTCGCAAATACTACAAAAACAATCCATAATTTTGTTGGGAGGTATAACTTGTATGTTAAGAAAATGTAAGCATTGTGGAAATGTGTTCACTGACTGCATATTGTGTGAAAACGACATGAAATGTGTGAATGGTATGGCCACAATAGACCGATGCTGTGCTAATTGTGTTTAGAGTTTTGAAAATGTGACTACTGGTTGGACAAACGCTTGTTAGCGACTGAAAAAAACTGCACTATCTGGCTTTTATGATTCTCTAGCTATGTCATGTTATTTATTTATTCAATTTATTTATTTATTTTTGTTGTTGAGTTATTTGAGTTTGGATTGATTTTATAGAGTTATTAACCCTGATGTATGACTCAAGTATGTCCATTTATATGATGCCAATTAATGTGTAAAATAGTACATTTGATTTATTGTATAAATATACATGTTACACATTTTATTTACATGTCAGTTATATTATATTTATTTAAATGAATATTTCCATCATGCTACATAAAAACCCTTGAAAGTTCAGTTATGATTTTGTTTTATTTAAAAAAATTTTTTTTTGAATAAATCAATTAATTTTACATTAGTTTGTGTCAGAAGTCCAGCATCATTGAGTTGTTTTACATGTTCTCATAAGTTTCCATTTTGCCACATTGACAGTAGGCACATGTGTATCCACGTGAATCAGATCAATTCCTGCCTTCCGGTGTTATCAATTTATACATGCAGTTACAGTTTCTGAAGAGACATTCAGGCTTGATAAATATCTGTGGGTGCAATTTAATATATAAGCATTAACATCAGCATGTATTTAGTGCATGTATGAAGGAAGGCTCCATATTACACATTCAACACCATCTAAAACTAAAATGCTATTTTTTATTTTCTTCATGAGGAAAGCTTTAAGGTTTTACCTCGCATTATATAATTAATTTGTTCATTAATGTTTTATTAATTCATTGATGTATTCATGATTTGCTCATTAATTCATATGTTTGTCATTGATTCATTCATATTTGTCCCCTCTCTCTCTCTCTCTCTCTCTCTCTCTCTCTCTCTCTCTCTCTCTCTCTCTCTCTCTCTCTCTCTCTCTCTCTCTCTCTCTCTCTCTCTCTCTCTCTCTCTCTCTCTCTCTCTCTCTCTCTCTCCTGTTATCAGTAGTGGTTTAGCTGACATAAATTTGAACCCTGTTCTCATGGTCATGTTAGTCTGTTAAGATTAAAAAGCATCAAATCCTGCTGGCACAAATTACATGGGGTGTTTAGGGATGCGGGAAGGAGGGATGAATGGAAAAGGGCGGGAGCTGAGTGAATGAATTTTTGTCAAATCAGCATCACAAATCTGTTTGTGTAAAGCATCTAAAAGTATGGATTTATGTAGATGTAGTAAATACTGTAATATGTCAGAGTAAGTTTACAAAGCTATGTTTGAAATTATATTTGTGTGTGTATACTTGTGTTTGTGTTGTTTGTGTGGGTGAGCGAGCGTCTGCTTTTGGCAAACTCGTTGCAATGTGGGATTAGTAGGCAACTCTAAATTGTGGGGAGAAATAGGATCAGATTACAGTGAATTTTGGCACCGGATTATCTTCAATCCCTTAATTGTATCCAAGAAGCCTGAATGAGTTTTTTTGGAAGACATTGAGAGAGAGAAGACACTGAAAATGAGAAGAGAGTTGCAAACTTTAGAAGAAGCAGGTTCTGCATCTTGGATCTCCTGTTTTTGTCCTACATGTTAAATGTGAGACAGTTTTCATCTCACCTAGTGTATATATATATATATATATATATATATATATATATATATATATATATATATATATCACATATCACATCTTCTGCTCCATGGGTTGTGTTTTGGGCTGTGGTCCTGCTGATTTCGTGGCTTTTACCAGAAGATTCTTTGCTTCCTTCCACTGGCACCACGCTGTTCAGCAGAATTAACCAATTGCCTCAGGGTATTTTTCTACAAGCTTGAAAGATTTAAAAGAGGAAAGTTGGGGCTTTTTAAACTAAATCTCTGCTCATCATGTTGGGTTAAAACTGTCATTCCTCTGGGAGCTCAAGCAGAAGCCCCTGGGGATACAGGCACATGTAAATATAGGTCTCAAACTTACTCATCTTCACAAAATTTCCATACCAAAATCTCTGACAATGTTACCACTATTTCTAGTTTCTAACTGAAAGCATCTTTTGATTATTGCATGCTGTGGAGCTGATGTGTTGGGTCTTTGTGCAGTGTCTTAACTTAGCAACCAATTTTACTGGATGCCTTCCAAAGCACAATGCAGCTTGAAGTAGAGCAGGGTTGGGCAACTATGGTCCTGGAAGGCAACTGTCCTGCAGAGTTTGACTCTATCCCCATTCAAACACCTAAAAAAAAATCTAACCTAAGTCTTGCGAATTACAGCTAGGTGTGTTTGATGGAACTAAACTCTGCAGGACATCCTGAAGTTGCCCATCCTTGAACTAGATGCTTTCAAGGCCTCAACTTGAATCCACTTAATGTTTTAATGAGGTTTAAGGTGGTCCCTAAACAACATGTGCTCACATGCTAAATGTATTTTCATGCTAACACAACAACTCTGCATCATTTTTCATAGGTGGGCTATGAGAATGCAGGCACAGTGGAGTTCCTGGTGGACAAACATGGAAAGCACTACTTCATCGAGGTGAACTCCCGCCTACAGGTGGAACATACGGTTACAGAGGAGATCACTGAGTGAGTGAAAAACGTTACAATTGCATTTACAAGATGCACACGAAATAGACTCACAGAGATGTGGGAGGCTCTTATTTTAAGATTCATAGCTTGTTGAGCTAGTTTCCAAAACGTTAACTTGGCATATGTTGAAAGTTAAATGAATAGCAAATCAAAACACATCATAGATTTGTGTTTGCATGTAAATACTCCATTCATTTCTCTGATATGTCTGGAGGATATTACATTTGCCATTATATTCTATCCAGATGCTTTCTTATTAAAGCAACTTCTAAGAAAGCACAAACATCATGTACCCTGCAATTACTTAAACAGTCAAACACTGAAGTGCAAATATACAAATTCTACAGTAATTGCATTCACACACTGCGGTAGCACTCATAGCTCACTAGACGAACTAGCTGAAACCAGCTTCTGATAGCTAAATTTACATGGTTTCATGCTGGTCCAAGCTTCTCATTTATTGATTAACTGGACTGCCAGCTGGTTGACCTGCTTTCAACCTGGTAGCACAGTGGTTTTCAACTAGGGTTGGGTACCGAAACTCGGTGCCAATAGGGAACCGGTTCCGACGTAAACGGTAGTAACCAGACCGAATAAGAACGAAAATTTCGGTGCCTGATTTCGGTGCCTAACTTCATTATGCACACACGCACACACACACACACACACAAGGTCTCTCGCTCTCTCCCTCTCCGCCGTGCGTGTGCTACACAGTTTGGAGCACAGTTTCCTCTTCCTCGCATGCGCGCTCTTTCTCGCAAGGTTTGGCTGCATTTCACGTGTAAAATTACGTGTCAGAACGCCCTCTGGGTGTGCCGATAGTCTGAATCCCATATAGAATCAAGCCAATTCATTGGCTGATGGCGCGGGCGCCGCATCGACGCACTTACGTCGTCATATGTTGGCGCGCGCGCGCCATCTGCTCCTCTGATTTCTCTGCCGAAAAAGGAAGCTGGTCGGCAGCGCGAGGAGCTTGGCGGCGTCCCGTTCCCTTTTGAGAGATATGTTACACCAGTAACCAGAGATGTTCTCTTTCATAGGTTTACTCAACGCTGCGTAGCTAAGAAGCAGTGGATTTGTAGGCTGCCGTATCACGTGCCGTTTGAACTGACGCGCTACAGCGATCTGTCACATTTCAAAGAGCCAAAACGTTATTTATTGTGTGAATCTCGTAAAAATATTGACAGAATCTGACAGCTGTGGATTTGTTCCATATCAAAAGTAACCTTCTCTGTCTTGTCTGTCGGTGTCAGTGTCCTCTTTTTCCGCGATTTTTCTGTGTGAAAAGGGTCATTTGCGTGAGTCTCACGGTCAATGCGTGAGAGTTGGCAGCTCTGCCTGCTAGTAATCTCTATTAATCTCCAGTATTATTACATTGTTTGATACAATATTGTTTCATTTGATATTATGTAAATATTAATTTTTATTTTATATTGGTTTTATTATTACCATATGCTACTTGTATTTATATGGTTTAAAGATTTAAGTTAATATTGTGTCCAGTTTGGCCCTGTAAATTAAAGGGTATTATTTTTTGATAAAGTGTGTGCGGTTTCATTTTCTTAAGTACCGATTTAAGAACCGTTTAAGCACCGGAACCGTTTAAAAAATACCGAGTAGGTACTGGTATCGGATAAAACCCAAACGATACCCAACCCTATTTTCAACTAGTGGACCTCAACAAATTTCAAGTGGCCTCACGATTTAAAAAAATAAATAATAATAATTAAGCAAATAAGCACATATAGATATATTTCTTATTTTTATTAATTATTGGATAATAGGAGTAGTATATTAATATAAGTTTTAAAAAAATAAAATAGGGCTGGGAGCTTAAATATTGTTGTGGACAATGGGAAGCCTTGAAGTCAAAAAGTCAAAATTTGACCATTTGGGTCAAACTAATTTGAATGGGTAGGTTACTTTTGACCAGCAACAAACCAGCTACCATGTCCCAGAAGCTATTTGAATCAGCTTAAGATGGTATGACCTGTTTTTTTCACTGGCAAGTCAAATAAACAAATCTACTTGTACTACTGTATATATAGTAGAACTGGTGAAAACAGTCTGAAAGTAAATTATGAGTTGACTGCTGTGATTGGTTATTTGAAGTATGTGACCCATTAGTTCCAAAATTAGTGCGTTGGCCAGAATAATAACAGTGTGTGCGAACATGCAGCATGCATGCGAATTTGCCTTGATACGTTTGTGTGAATGTGTTGGCAGTCTGTCAATGTATAGTGTCTAGAAAAAAAAAAAATATATGTCTGCTGCCCCACCTTGAGAAGTTGGTCAAGGGGAGAAAGGGATGATAGGAAGATCGAATGAGAGAGAACATGTGTTAGGAACAGCATGTGTATGAGAGAAAGGAAGGAAAAGGAGAGAGGCGTTATAAATAGCTCTCACCTCCCCTGATAACCTATGAGCTGCTCCATAATGACATAGAGATGAGCCTGATCTCATCACATACACACACACATACACACATGCTGACAAGCATGCAGACATTAACGCACTGATGAGTCAAATGATTGATAGCGCTCCTTTCATTCTTCCTCTACACACAGACACACACACAAACACATCTTTGTGTTTTCCAGCACAAGTTCCTCGCCACAGAAATGGAGACTCATACATTATAGATATCAGAGTTGTCAAGTGTAGCTGACAGTGCTGCTCTGAATTGGCTCTCATTGCATGTGCTGCCATCTTAGATTTGCATAGGATTTGTTGAAATATATTATGAGAATTAGTCTGTCTTATGGATATTATACTGGCTCTTTTAAATGGGAAAAAATACATGGTTTGCAATGCAGTCATATTTTTTTTTTTTTTTTTTTTTTTCTTTCTTTCAACAGGGACAATATGCAAAAAAACATTAATTAAAGATGCTTTGCACCAGATTTAGCTTAAGCTAGTTTCCATCTGTAGTCCACGAGCGGTGAATTACAATACAAGATAAAATGTAATTAGTCACTCAAATACAACTATTAATTCATTCATTCAACCATTCCCCATTACAACCATCAGTCCAAGTAAATCATACCAAGATTACTACAATAAAACATCACTAAAAGTCATATTTACATACACAATTATCTATGCTGACACGACTGGTTTTCCAATAGCACTTTCCTTGTATTGCGAGAAAAATCCTTCAGGTCTAAGGTAAGTTTCAGACTCTGTGGGAGTTTGTTCCATTCTTTGATGCCTTTAAATGAGAAGGCTGTCTGTCCAAAGGCCGAGCCACGTTTAGGCAGTCTGCAATAATTGCAACTCGTGGACCTGGTACTCCTAGTCATCCATTCAGAACAAAACTGGACAAATGTTTTCAGGGGAGGAGGCGCAATATTATTCAAAATTTTTAAAACGAATCGCACATTGGCATACACAATTATATTATCAAAGTTTAACATGCTGTATTTCTCAAGAATCAGACAGTGATGATATCTCAGTGTCTTTTGTGTAATACTTTAACAGCTTGATTATATAAAGATGTTAAAGGTTTTATTGCTGTTTCACTCGTCTGTTGACCAACAAGAAATACAGTAGGCTAATTAATATGAGGAATTATCATTGCCTCCAAGTAAATTTTTGCAGCATCATGAGTCAATGTATTCCTAATATGTCTAAAAGCAGAAAAACATCTCAGGTTACGACTGTAACCATAGTTTCCTGAGAAAAGGAACGAGACGATGCGTCAACGACGCTTTGGGAACGCCCCCAGCGTGAATGCGTCTGAAGCATCTATGTCAACTAGTCCAATGGAAAGAATGAGCGTCACGGGCGGGTGACGTCATGACCAGGAAGAGATAAAAGCACATCCGGTGCAAACCGGCATTAGCTTCGAAAATTGCCGAAGCAAGCCGATCACAGGGATGCAGGAAGTATGGCAGGGTAACGCATCGTCTCGTTCCCTTTGTCAGGGAACTATGGTTACAGTCGTAACCTGAGACGTTCCCTTTCGAGGGAACTCGCGATGCGTCAACGACGCTTTGGGAACAAGAATACCCAAAACACCAAACTTTCAAGAACCTGAGTGTCAGCCTGTTGTCACTAAACACTAAGCACCTGGGACCCTGGGGCAGCATCCAGGTCCAGGCTGTAAAACCTCATGAATGTGAGCGGTGAGGACCAGCCCGCCGCATCACAAACGTCTTGGAGAGAAACCCCAAATAATAAGGCTTTAGAGGCCGCCATACCCCTCGTAGAATGAGCTCTGACCGCCAAAGGACACGGCTGGTCAGAGTACTCGTAAGCAAGTGAAATAGCCTCGACTATCCACTTACTGACCGTCTGCTTAGAAGCAGGAAGATCTTTCTTGGGTGATCCAAAGCAAACAAATAGCTGGTCGGATTTTCTCCACGACGAAGTCCGATGAACATAAGTGTCTAGTGCTCGCACTGGACACAAGAGGTTCAGCTTTTCCTGGTCCGAAGAGGTAAAAGGAGGAGGACCGAAAGCCTGCAGCACAATAGGCCTCGGAATCATGGTCGGCACCTTAGGGACGTATCCCTGTTTTGGGTATAAGAATGCCTTGACCATCCCCGGTGCAAATTCAAGGCAGGTGGGGGAAACCGAAAGGGCCTGAATGTCCCTAACTCTCTTGAGGGACAAGATAGCTAGCAAAAAAATGTCTTAAGAGTAAGAAATTTATCTGAAACTGACTCTAAGGGCTCGAATGGAGCCCTAGAAAGGCCTTCTAAAACTATTGCAAGGTCCCAAGCTGGCACCCTAGTGCGAGTTGCAGGCCTCAGCCTCAGCCTCAATGTCCCACGAAGGAAACGTGTAATCAGGGGGTCTCGACCCAACGATGTACCACCCACCAGGGCGTGGAAAGCCACAATGGCCGCCACGTAGACCTTGAGCGGGGAAGGACATAGACCTGACTTAAGCACTCTTGCAGGAACTCGAGTACTGTGTTTACTGAACAGTTAACTGGATCCCACTGATGCTGGTGACACCATAAAGAAAAAACTCTCCATTTAAGTGCATAA